TCAGCTATGGAGTCACGCAGTTTGTTGGTCCTCATTTTTGGATATTTTGAACTACTATTGTTCCCCACAGCCGGTTCACTTGTCACGCTTCACCTGTTAGGTGTGGTTTGCTACCATAGCTACTGAGTAGTGTTTATACGACAATATCACCACATATCATGACTATCAGCGGTATATGAGTTGGTTATCTCTAACCGCAGTTAGATTGAGATGCTATGAAAAATTCATGACTTTTTGAAATCATGCGGAGAGGGGGAGGGAGCAGAGGAAAGTTGCGTGACTGTCAGCGTTTTTCCGGCTTGTGTTGCAGCCAGCCCCGAAAGATGAAGACGTACAGCTAAGATGGGACATCAAGATACGCTTTGATTTTCCCGTTCTTTAAAGGGAGGAAATTTACTCAAAAACAGCCAAAATCTCACAACGCAACGATGTGACATTGGTCACTTAGCTCAAAAGCAACGGACTGTGGAAGAAACTACGCCATTATTTCAGAAAGGTGGGTTTTTTTTGGATTGGGCAAAAAGGCTTCGTTCGGGGGCCAAGTGCACCAGTCACCGGGTTGAACGAGTTTCACCGCAGTCAGAGGACCAATCGGGGAGATTTCTTACGAATAGCCGACTTGATCAGTGCTGAGTCAGTCAGTCTCAATTCGCTCTTTGTTGCTTAGTGTGGATGACTGACAGCTTGGATCAGGATTTTGAGGCTTTGTATTTCCCGTGCGTGCTCTCTATCAGGAAGGTCAGATTCCTGAAAGTAACCCAAGAACCCTACCTAAGTCTCAACAGCAAAGCCGGAAAGCATCCAGGCCAGTCGATCATTCAATCAATTCAGCAAAAGCCGATGAGTGTTCATGCATGCCACAGAAGCACGACCGAATGTGATCAAAGTTCAGGCTTTCCATAGAGGCACGATCGATGTTGATGGGTGTTCACTAACGCCTATCAGACAACCTGGATCAATGTCAAAAAGTTTCCTTCAAATAGCGTGGGTCCGTTGTAACTTTTGCCCTCGCACTCGTACGCACTCACGCTCTCGCACTCGTTTGCTCGGAATATAGCTGCTTTATTCCCTTCTGTGAGTGTTTTTTCAGGCACTGGGCACTAGAGCGGGTTGGCGGATTGGCGACTCAGCAGATATAACACTCTCCGTTGTCGAACCTTTGACTTTCGCCCGATAAATCGTTCCTGGGTAATCTATTTTATGCATGGCTTATGTTCACTTAATCCGGTGTGCAATTCCATGGCTGTCTGACCTACATAAGCCTTCCTAGAATTTGCTTTCGTATGCAGCAGAGTGATTAATACCAAAGACGGTGGAAACCACCAGGTATCCCGGCGTGAATAGAACAGAGGGCGTAGAACTGCCAGGCATGTGGAGAACGGTTTTTTTTGGATCAGCCAAGATGCCGCGAGGCGGTGTGCGATGTATTGGTGAAGTACTTTGGGTTTAAAAGTACAAAACCTTACCACTCCAGTCACCTACACCCAATCCAATTGTCCTGGACCCCTCAGACCAACAAAATCGGTGAACGACATCCAAGAAGAATATTCCATTAAGGTGTCCTAGACTGGAAAAGGAAGACTTCAGCTTGAAGACAGCTCCCCCAACCAAACTATCGTAAGTGTTAATCATCCACACCAACCAACAAAGAGGATATTCAGACTGACTGACTCAGCACCAATCAAGTCGGCTAGTCGTAAGAAATCTCACCGATTGGTTCTCTGATTGCCTTGAGACTCGTTCAACTTGTTCACTTGGCCCCTGACGAGGCATTTGTGCCAAAAGCGTAGCGTCGCCCAGCATCAAATCCGCAGAGTGTTTATCGGAACTGATGACTACTCAGTCATTCCCCAAAACCTCTTAGTTGATCGAATATCAGCGGTCTGTTATATTTGACTTCTGTTCCACGCTCCATTGTCTGGTGTCGAAAAGACTCGCTGACAAGGAACACAACAGCTTTATTGCGAACAAGCAACTGCGTTTGAGTGCAAAGGTTACAACGGCCCCGCGCTGTTTAAAGGACACCTCTTGACATTGATCCAGGCTGTTAGATAGGCGTTTTGGTGAACACACATCAACATCGATCGCGCTTCTTCCTGAACGGTGATCATTTTCGGTGTGCTTATGTGGTGTGTCTGAACACTCGCCGACTTTTGCTGAATTGGTTGAATGATTAACCGACCTGGATGCTTGCCGGCTTTCCTATTGAGATTTAGGTGAAGTTCTAGGGTCTCAGTAAGTTTCGGGTGTTCTGGGATTACTTTCAGGAATCTGACCTTCCTGACAATTTTGACTTTAGTGGCGGGTGGAATTCGTCAAATGGTTTTGTCAAATGGTATCTCAAACTGTATGGCAAATTCTGTTTGAATTCTGAATTTCTTTCTTCAAGTGTGCCAACCAGATTGAAATTCATGATTCTGTATGAATTGACTTTTCGTTCAATTGATCCTATGCCACATGTGCGGTTACAAGGTATTCCACATTCCTCTTTACTTCAAGTGCGGACGAGGTTGAGGCTGAGGCTCAGATCCCGCTTGATTAATCCCTTTGACTTAGAAGTACTCATTAGCTGGAAGGGTGGGGATACCAACAAGCTTCACTGTAGAAGAATATTCAGCAACCTTATGAGTAGTGTGCTACATCTAAACTCTAGTCACCTTGGGAAAAAACATCAGGAACTGTTGACAATCTAAACTTTTTTTGATCGACAACATTTGTCACAGTGCACTGGCCACACCCTCCGAATTTACCGTTTACCGACTCTCAGAGACGATCCGCGTACCTTCGCCTGATCCTCCACAATGAGGGCCTTCGAAATAGTGGCTCACATGAAGAAGTTCCCACCACATCTTTGTGGCCAGTGCTGGTGTTGTGAAACCTGGTTTTCTCAGTGTGACTTTGAAACTGGTAGAACGTAAAGAGGAGGCTGGTACTCGAATGCCAATCATTTTCGGGATGACCTTGCACGATAGGGTGGGGTTTCTGTCACTAATCAGTTGGAGCTGAGTGAATATATTGATGTGGACGGTCTGGGAAAGGAAACCAAAGCAAGCTAGAAACCCGGACTGATGAGGCTACCGATCGATTGAGGCAGTGCCTTCTTGGTCAAAGACAGGAACTGTACTTTAATCAAGGTGCAATTTATTTGCCAGTTACTCTGTGGCAAAAACAGTGGGACTTGTTATCGATGGAAACACATAGGAGATTATGACAGTTTGATCAAGGTTAGTCCTCTGTCCCAACCACAAGGGACATGGCATAAAATGCGCGCTCTATGCGAGAAAGCAATTTTAACCAAAAACAGCAAACAAACCGTTGAAGACAGTCATTTGCGGAGGCTTATCCTGCATCTTTTGTAGATCTACGACCTTGTACGCCGAAGTTAGACCTTATATACTATTCACATAGTGTACTAACAACCCAGAAGCGGTCGGATACTCACAAATACTCTCGTTTGTGTTGTATCTTGCTGAACGGTAGCGCAACTCTGTATCTGTCCCTTGGCTTCCTGTTCCGCCCACTAGGGTACATCAAAAGGCACGGTAGCTTCGGACAGCCCTTTATGGAGACAAAGGAAAATTATTACAACTGTATTTATAGGGTAGGCACAGAGTGTTCCACATGGTCGTGCCAGAACCTCCGTGAAGGGGCGAGTAGCGTCGAGTCAAGGTGCTCGAATCTGATTGGCTGGCGTTCTGACCAGTCAGGGCATGCCTTCGTTTGGTCCGTGTCCTGCACGTGACATCCGTCCAAATGATGTGATGTTCGGCTATTAGGGACGGTTGGCATCCGGACAGTTTTGCACGTTTGGTCTTAACGGGAGACTCAACTGAATCCAGCTGAATCTCTCGTCTTCATGATATTTTTCAACTGAATTTGCTGAACAAGGCCGCCTTATTCGACAAATACACTTGGTTTCACATCAATTTTGTTTTCACGGGAGACTCACCTGGATCTCCCGCTTATGATATCGTTTGACTGAATGAATGAGTAAAATCCAAACTGATATGCAAACGAGTGTATTTGTCGAATTTCGTGCAAGTTGGGTTCAAGTGTAACGTAAAGTTGACGGGAAATCCGGGACCGCACCTAACTGACGAACCCCAATAAGGTCGAAACCAGTGGTGGGCTGTCGAGGAGTTTTCAGCAACTTTATGAGTAGTGTCTTACGTCCGTTTCGAGTACTTCCTCCCCCCTGACGGCTTCTCTTTCTGAGGGCCCCTAAGTTCGTGGCCTTAGGGTACTACCGGTTGAATTTGCGAGTAGAAAGCTTTTTAAATATAGCACAGGTTCAGCACTCATACATATTTATATACCCTAACAAAGTCTCGTATTCTTTCCATACGCATTGGTTTCAATAGTTCCCTGTGTATCGAATCCCAGTGAGTTCATCAGGAAATTCGGATTTCTGACATCGACCTCAGAACATCCGGAACATACTGAGACCCTGAAACTCCACCAGAATCTCAATCGGAAGACCGGCAAGCATCCAGGCTAATCAAGCGTTTGATCAGTTCAGTAACAGCCTTAATCGATGAAAGTAAATTTCAAATAGCGTGAGGTCCCTTGTAAGTGGTGCACTCGCACCACGTGCTTGTTCGCAATAAATCTGTTGTGTTCCCTGTCGGTGAATGCCTTTTCGGCACTAGGCACTGGAGTGGGAACAGCAGTCAGATATAACAGATTGGCGACGGGGATGGGATGTTTGGGAGTAACATGTATGATGCCGTGTCTTCGAATGAATTCGCCAAACTGATGGGATATAGTAGTATTGAGTCGTATTGTCGGACACAATAGTTTCTGGAATACCACATATTGAAAACGAATGCCGCAGTTTAGTGATGGTTGCCATCTTTGTTGTCTCAGACAATGAGGACTTCAGGCCACTTACCGAATGCATCGACTACGATGAAGAAGCTTTGTCCGTTAACTGGTCCGGCAAAGTCTACATGGATCCGCGACCATCGTTTTTCTGGCTGTGGCCAAGGCTATGCCGACTGTCAATTGGGTAACCTCTGGGCAGCTGCGCATCGGAAGAAACTTCGGCATATCTGCTCCATGTGCTCATCCGTACCGGGCCAAAAAACACAGCTTCGAAAAGAAGCAGCAAAAACGATAACACCTGACTGCGCCGACGGCAATTCTAACTCTGTTTTACGAACCAGCTTTGTAGTTCGAGTGACTGATTTGGCTGCCCGTAAAAATCGATTTTTAATAGTACTTAAACTATGTTTAAAATGTTTTTTTTTGAAAGCTGATGAGACCTTTGGGTATAAACAATAAAACTAACCGCCACAACGTGTCTGTTATGCCGCAAAATTTATTCGTGTGGTGCAGAATGTGGGGGTCTTGTAGAAAAGTAGGTTGAGCTTTGTAATTTACGGTCCCTGGGGGAGTATAAAAAAGTGCCGACACAATTTTTCCCGAAAAAATAACGGAACTTTCACTGAAGAGTGTAGATCAAATAACTCTCTTCCACACACACACACACACACTTGTCCTGGGGATAAACTACCGCAGGTCGAACATGTGATTCCACTACGGACCACCCAGAACGGCGCAGTCCGACTGCTCTGTTCAAAACTCCTTCGATGGTTTTAGTCCGATAGATTTTTGAAGCTATCTCTTAAAAAATCCAATGAGTGGCGTTCAGCCAACTAGTTACTACACAGTTATTCACAATTGTTAGTTCTCAAAGAGGGATTATCCCCCAAAACAGGGTCAGTAATACGACTTTCCTTGTGTCGTCTTACTTACGCGAGGTCTGGGACGTGGTGTGAACGAGATAAAATTTCTCTAGTGGAGAATGCTCTCGAGTAGCGTAGCATGCTCGCTAACTTCTCGACATAATCATTAGTCAGTAAGCTTCATGTGGGATCCAATTAGAGGGAGCCTCAAATAGGCTAGTTTTTACGTGACATAACGTGCATTTATGAGCACTTATCGATTTATGCAGATCCGCCTTGAATCCTTTTCTGGTCTCAGCATTCGCCCCACGCCCAACGCACTTGCTGAGTTGTCATCCTTTGATCTGTTTTCCTAACCGGTCCTGCTCTCCTTGACCATGGGAAGTTCATCATCTAAGCTATATTGTTGAAGATCACAGATTCATTGACTTTTGAAAAACATCGTTCTCTTTACTCATATTACTTACGTCAGTCAAGTTTGGTCCCACACTAGATGAACCAGTCGGAATGATTGGATGAAGTGTACTTGTCAAGTTGTGTTAAGGCACACACACGCACACACACTTCTGAGATTGAGGTTGCCAGTTTGGGTTCAGCTGGGATCTTTTGCAAAGTAAACTATTATTGCGCGTAATCGCGGTAATCTGGATGTGGTGCTCGGTGTTGGAGTAATCTGGTCTGCACTTGTCACTGCGATTTCAGGATGCATCCTGGGGAGAGTGAAGGTGTGTTTTCTCAACTTGAACTAGTGTAAGATTACTCGGCATTCCCCTAGCCGTCTAAGCTGATCAGGTGTAAAGGTGCCGTTCAAATCACCAGGGTTACCAGCAGCTTGAGTTGACTAATGTTGATGTGGAATGGAGACCTGAAAGAGCGAATCATACTCCCGGTTTCCCGGGCCGAAGTGAGGTGCTTGGTTGAGGTACCCCACCTTGAGGCTTTGACTCAGAAGTCTGACCCACGAGGCAGCGGGCAGTAGGGTTTTCTTTGGGGACCCTGCCCGGAGCCACTAACTCAATAGTCTGACGAAATGTAAACTGTCTTTCTGCATTCGACTTCCTCCCTCACACACGGCGTAATTGGTCTGTTTTGCCCGGAAATGTTCTTGTCTGCATTTTCTAGAACTCTTTGCCTCATTCAGAGATCAACTTCAGCATACAACTTAGCATTCACTGTACAGTTTAGGGAGAAGCAATGCGTTGATTCGCTGTTGATCTTGTTTTGAACCACTACTTGTTATGTCTGCTGATTCGCCAATCTCTTGTATGTGACTCCTGACCCGCTCCAGTGCCTAATGCCGAAAAAAAGACTCACGGAAGGGAACACAACAGCTATGTTCCGAACAATCTAGTGCGAGAGCGTGCGTGCATGCGAGCGAGCGAGCGCAAAAATGCACCAGTTTCAAGCTAGTTATTGGAGGAACACTGTTTAACTTGGTCCAGGCTGACGCACGTGGTCTGGCCCTGGTACTAGAATGCGACGCGCTGTATATATTGCGGGGGCGTTGTCTGACCTTGACCAACGCTGACTCGTGCTGCCGGGCGTTGTCTGTCAGGTCAACATCTGGTGGAGCTGAGAGTCTCAGTAGATTTCGGGCACTCGGTGGTTGCTTTCAGGAATCTAACCTTCCTGATACTACCGCAGCGGCAAGTCCTGTGACCATGTGTTGTATAACTGTGGCCACGAACAGCAACTGCCATCTGCTGAGTTTGGTCGAGCGGTATTTATTAATGGGGAAATCGGAGTCAGGGAAGATTTCGTCCTGTAAGTGAACTCGACTTATGCCAAAAGATCGAAAGGCACCGTACAGCGGTTTCATCTCTATTGGGAATCATCAGTAGTGCGCATTTCACGAATCCCCGGGGTGATTCAAACTTGCATGATACTTGCATGCCACACTATCACTCATCTTTCAATCACGCGGCCACATTTTGCCTGACTTCTCGAGTGACAGCTTCTCAGATGGAAATTTCATTCTTTTTTCATTTCTTCTAAGCTACTGGTTTTGAATTTGGCTCATCAGTTTGGAAGTGAATTTCGTGGGACCATTACAGATTGGTACCCTTTCTATGAACGTAACAGACTACTCACAAGGTTGCTGAAAACTCTTTGACAGCCCACGACCGGTTTCGCCCTTCTCGCTTTATGATCTTCACTACCATATCGATATCATGTGCACTTTTGGACATAACCTGTTACCATCAAAGTGCTGATCTGCGTTGTCTACCGGAAACTTTTTCCCCCGGCGACGGTTAAGTTGTGGGTTTCTCAGTCGAGCCAATAAGCTGCTTCTCATATAAGCCTTGTCTAACCTCAAATACCAATCAGATCCACAGAGGTGGAGCTGAACAGGGAGGTCACGTGTCACACAACCCCACCTTTAAGGGAAAAAGGTGAAGTTCTGCTGTACGCGTAACCGACTATCAGTGTAATGAGGGAAACACTTCACTAGCAAACGGTTACAGACTATTGGACAGGAAAGTAAAACTCTCATACAGACCTTGTTCTAAAAACTGAATATCTGCCTTCTTCTTGAACGCGTCTTCTTGAACTTTCGTGGATATTCATGGACTATCACGCAAATGTAAACGAACGCTGCAAAGCAGTTCCACGAATTCCGTAAGAAACCCCAGCTTCCATTAGACACGAACCGAAGTTGCGAGAAATCCACATACTTCTCGCATGCCTCGCCAGTAGTATCTACCGTCACACCAGTATGATAGCTTTTTGGTAGATCCTTTCAACGCCATATCAATGCAGCCCTTTTAAATGATTAGATTTTTATTGTCACTTTTTGTACAGGCATACATAGAGACGATGCAAGTGGATGACACCGTTGCCAGTCTGACGTTGCTGACAAGTTTGGTTGTGATTCACCTGGTCTCGTCGTTTGCCGAACCGGTTCGCTTGAATAACCCCGGATCGATGCAGTATCGACAATCCTATTGGCCAAATCTGGAGCGTCAGTCGAAACCAGGCCCGACGTCCCATGCTCGACTGAGACCCACCAATCTTAGTGATCGAGAGGACCGAGCACAACTTCATGTTCATGAACATCACCGGATTCACTGGGCTGAAAAACGGCTGGTGAAAGATTTGCTGTGTGATTACGAGAAGAATTCCCGTCCAGTTGTCGACGGACTGACTCCGGTGGTGTGGATAACGCCCACCATTCATACCCAACAAATCACTGTGGAATTCGGTTTGGAATTGTTGCAAATTTTGGATTTGGACGAAATGGATCAAGTTGTTACCGTCAGCGTTCGAACACTCCATGTGAGTGGAAATCAATCGGATTCGCGTGACCAAATATTAATTTATATTTTCATTGTTTTTAACTGGAGAGTACATTGGTAGTTCAGATTGAAATGATGGCCATTGGATTGTTTGCTGAGCTGAGCAGTTTGGTTGCGAACGTTTCATCGCCGGTCAAGGTGAGATCATCAGTACGTTGAGACTGGAAGTGCCGTTCCATTGTGTCTCACAGACAAATGTGCTCAAAGTGGTAAGATCTTTTCACACAAGGCGAATGAGTACAGTGTACTTACAGGTGTACTTAAAATGGGTAAACCAGCAGAATTTCCTCTCATCAGAGAAAGTGCTCTGAAACTTGAGTTTAAATCGTTTGCTTCGTGAGAAAACTCGCGACAGAATATATTCGGAGGCAAACAGGCGGTTAGCCTAACACTTAGCGGTGCTTTGTACCTCTTGTTATAGTCTGTATGCAATATGTTTTGCTACCCAATGCGATTGATTATCTCTCTCTTTTAATTGAAGCAAACAGGTTCAGTGACCCTCCTTTGCGGGGGCGGGGGATTCCCTCAAACGAGTCATCTTCACACAGAAAGCACTTGTCGCGAGAAAGCTGAACTACAGATGTTCCAACCATCCACAATATCCACACATGATCAATACCACCTGATTGAAAATCACATGACATGCCCCATCTTTATCTTAGGTTTGACATCATGAAGGGTCTCTTTTAAAGAGGACCTCTTCAGTGACAGGCTCCAATTTCCAAAATTAAATTACCCCACACGTGAGGAAACCAGACTGATGTTGCCTAAAATTGGTTAGTTCGTCTCTCTGATTGCCCAGACGTGACCGAAATTGTCTGAGCAGATGGTCCCAATTGCGCTATCCAAAACATCTATGTCCTGAGGCGAGCGGAGTGAAAAGAAAAACCTCATCCGAGTTATAGCAAATGACTGTGTGTGATAGAGCAGCTGAGCGAAGGACTTCCCTGCTCGAAATGTCCGGGAATTTTCCTACACCGCTCAGTTTTGGGTGTATGCATTGATTTTGTTAGATGAACTCGCCCATTGTTGCGTGCGAGATAACAGAATCCAGGTTTCCATTCACTCGTCCACGATCTGTTTGTGTTGACTGTCAAGGATTTCCTTTCATTAAACTCTAAAGAAGAGCCTTTTGAACTTTCCTCAAATACGTATCTGTTGGTTTTGTTCCAAGTATAGCGACGAAACTCCATTGTCTGACAATGAATGAACGGGTGTAGACGGTTTGTCTGTGTTATGTATCAGAACACTGTGTGATAACAAGTAGACGATTGAAGCGTTTCAGCACATACCAGGGACAAGAGCAGAGTAGGACATGATCAAGGAGTACGTGGTCACATGCCAATCAGGACGCGGATAGCAGACCAAGCGATAGAACCGCCTAACCGAGCAGCCAATCGGGAGCGAAGGTCAGCATGTATATTGGACACACGCGCACGCACGCACGCACACACGCACGCACGCACGCACGCACGCACGCACACACACACGCACGCACGCACGCACGCACGCACGCACACGTACGCACGCACGCACACACCACACACGCAAATGGTCCTTCGTCACGTTACGCTTCGCGCTTCAACAGCGCACTGATGTTACCCTAATCGGTGACGAACTGCCTACAGTCAGGTCGCCCAGCTCAGCGAACAAACAGCTGCCTGCGAAAGCAAGACAACAACAAGGCACGTGTGTTAGTCTGGTGTGAGTTTCAGTGCTGCTGGAAGTCGGTAACAGACAGACAGGGTGGTCTGGTTAGGAAAACTTTGTAGGTACTTCATATCCTTACACATGTCAAACTGATGACATGTGTAATGAAGCCTACTACGTTTGTCCACGTCATTGTGGTGTATAGTTTGTTTCTTGTTGACTTCAGGTATGTTTCTGAAGATACCAAAGTGATGAACGTGTCATTCACCGAAATATTGTGACTAGGTTATGCGATGTCATTCGTTCGGAGCGCTCTCGTAAGACTAATCATGGCTGAGCCGTGGCAGCAACGACTAAATGTCTGAAAAACCCACAATAGTTACTTACGACCAGTAATTCAAGGTCATACACAGTTCGCATATTGAGGTAATCCGAGCAATGCACAATGTGGGTGATGTTTGAGCTGAATCACCTCTTCCTCTGCAGATTTTTTCGAACTTCGATACTTCACGTATGAAAGCACGTGCATCTGTTGCTAATAAACACAGACATGTACGCGCTCAGGGTGTCTAGCGAGACTAGTGCACTTGGTCCAGAAAAGTCGGCTTATGTGGTAATCTGGGATTGTACGATGTTGAATGCAGGTTGAAGTCTGACGCACATAGTCTACGGATAATGGATATTCGCTCGGAATCAGCCAGCCATACGCCTCACGTGTATCGGCAGACACCCCCCGCAGGCTACTGTGGTACCTCCAGACACAACATCACATTGAGCAAATCTGTTCTCATTTTGAATAGTTTCTCGGTACGAGGCAATATGTCGGTCAACCAGTCAGCTGGTCAGTGATAGAGAACAGAGGGTAATCTTGTCAGAGCGCGATCGACTGGGTCGAAACCTCACTGCTCATCAGGGGCCTGGCGGACTCCGTTGATTTGCAGGAGAAGCATAATCCATCAACCTTTTTGGTCCAACCTATTTTTGAAGTTTAAATCTGTGCTCGCATACATATCCTCGTCCGACAGGCTGTTTAATTCACTACACACTCTTGTTAGTAGTATGCTAAGGGGATTCAGATTCAGATGCCAATGCTTACGTGTAGACTGGATCAACTCCGAGCTCTGTTGCTTCTCACGAGAAGCAGTTCTCCCTAAGCCTCGTTTCACACCGTTTGACTTGTTTCAGCGAGAAACGTTCATGTTAGAAGGTGTACACATCCCAAATCGATCGAGACCTTCGTTCCTTTCGTTTGTGTTACTTTTCTAAACGGCCCTATTTTCTATCTACAGCCGCGTGGTGCCCCAACCGTTAACACTAGTTTTACCGTCATCCCCGAAGATGGCGAGCATTTCAATATGATTGTACTTATTAGTAATGATAATAGGGCCAAAAGTCTTCCGTGAGCGGGATGGATACGTTGTCTGTATGAGTTCAAAACCTTACTGTTGATCGCGACATTTTTGTTGAAAACTCGTTGGCCTTCCTGCCCAAGGGACTGTATGGTGATGACCTTGCAGTATCACTTGAAATCTTCCCTATGCAACGACCGGAAGCGAGTCCTGTCTGTCTCACTATCACAGGTTATGAGTAGTCCGTTTTGCTAGTGAAGTCGAGTGCGAAAGAGTCCTAAATTTGGATGTAGAAACTGCAGTGGAGCGGAGGTGGAAGGGGGAAAAGCAACTACTGCAGAAGAAACCAATACAGTGCTCGTTCGACGATCTTGTATTGCAAAAGCTATGCCTAACTATTGGCCAAGTTGTAGTTCAAAATGGGAAGAGGTCCGCACTCTGACAGAATTCTTCTGTAAACGGTCCAATCCGTATCGACCGTTCCTTTTGGATAGCTGGATTTAGTTTGCTGTGTTCACATCATTTTTAAGCTCCAACACTCTCTTTTTCACGTGCTGCTGACTTTCAGAAGCTTAAGGTTGACATACTGTTATATCTGCTGATTCATCAATCTGTGGTATCTGCTGCTGACCCGCTCCAGTGCCTAATGCCGGAGAAAAAAAGACCCACAGAAGGGAACACAATGGCTATATTCCGAACAGACGAGTGTGAGAGCGTGAGTGCGTCCGAGTGCGAGAGCAAAAGTTACAACGGCCCCACGCTATTTAAACAGGACTTTCTGACAGTGGTCCAGGCTGTTTAATAGGCGTTAATGAACACCCGTCAACATCGACCGTGCCTCTATGGAAAGCCTGAACGCTGATCACATTCGGTTGTGCTTCTGTGGCGTGCAAGAACACCCATCAGGTTTTGCTGAATTGATTGAATGATTGACTGGCCTGGATGCTTTCCGGCTTTCCTGTTGAGTTTTTGGTGGAGCAGTAGGTTCCGGGCGTTCTGAGGTCGCTTTCAGGAATGTGAATTTCTTAATAGTAACCTGTGTTGCTGACCTTCAGAAGCTTAGGGTCGACATACATTGGCGTGAAAGACCCCAACCTGGAAATCGACTGCGGGCTTGGCCTAATATGACTCCGGTACTCGTCTTAAACAGTTTCACCTGGCACACTGAGTCAGATCACTGACACCAAGGTCATCGGGATTCTAACTCAAGGGGTCGAAAGTATCGAATGCAATACAAAGTAGTTTGTTCGTCAGATGGATACCACTTTCATGTCTTGTATTAGGCAGTCCTCAAATGTTCGGTAATCGATGAAACATCTCATTTCGAGCTATCCCGGTTTCCCTTCTGACAGAAATGGAAAGATTACAACCTCATTTGGGACCCGGCGGACTACGATGGGATCAGTTCAGTCACTGTACCGAGCAGCTACTTATGGTTACCGGACATTGCACTTTACAATTAGTAAGTGAACTCTTTCGTGCGCGATTCATTTTTCTGCATTCAACCGGGTGATTTATGTAAATTTGACCGGCTTTGATGTAAACAGGGGGTTGCGTTGGTTTGGGGAAATGGGATTGATCCGAAAAGAAAACCGGTCCTTGTTGTTGGAGTTTGAATAGATGACATTCTCGCAAGGTTTGCTAACTCGACATCACATTCGTTCAAGGCAGTAAACACTGAGAAAAAGTGCCTCAGGAAACGCAGTATTTGAAGAAAACTTTCGAAAATGTTACAGGGGGATAGTTTCTGGGGGGTGACAAAATTGTACACCTGATGGAGAATAGCTAACAATTACCCCTATTGACGACATATGTTAGCTCTTCCAAGACAGGGTTTATTAGAAAAAAAACTACTCCACTTGTACAAACAGGCAGCCTTAGTCCAAAGGGAGAACAATTCTTCTGATTGACGGTCAGAAGGCTTCTGAGCTGCTGAAACGTCCTAGCTGGACTCGTGTGAACGAATTTCCACATGTCCTGTTTCACTGGTCAGGTGTACCTTACGTTTTCACTTGCTGATCGGGTTGCTAGGTTACAGCCTGAGGAGCAGGCACGAATTTTCTCACACTTGGGGATCAATGACTTTGACAAATTAGCCCCCACTGATTCATCCTTGGCGTTTCACCCGTCTAAACAGCTATCACACTGCTGTGAGAACCTTCTCTCACGATGAAATCAGCTGGATGGAGCAGTTTTTATGCATTAGTATCAAGTTGAGTAGCGTGGGCCGTCAGAGTGTTCAGCGACCTTATGAGTAGTTTTTTACGTCTAGAAGTTGTAGCGACCCAGTCACCCACATACTTGACTGTTCAACTCACGGTCGCTCACTGGATCGCGAGGCTTGTCTTTTTTCTCATACTCACAAACACGTCGCACTAAGCTGACTCATCGGACATCGATTGTCTGTACCGCCTAGTCAGTGTAGCAACTACTCATGTGCTGACGCGCCCACGTATACGCACTGGGACCTACATAAGGGAAACCGAACCCAGTCAGGACACAGTCTCGCGCGGGTGCAGGGAGCAAGGAGTCAGCCAAGCACCCCAAGTCCACGGACAATCATGGAACACGTGTAGCAGTCATACTGCGGAGAAAAACACGTTCCTGTCGTCCGGACTTTCAATAAGGGACTCTCACATACGATAGGTTCCCTTTTGACTTGCTCCCATTCTCGCACTGTATTTATTTTTATACGTGTCGCAACCATACAAAAACTTCTATTAGTGCACATACACCTTCTGATCTGTATTATGGCTATCGTCAGCTGTGAACTAATAAAGTTTCATCATGCTTGCTTCCCAATACCGCGATAGAATGAACATTGTTCCGAGTTTAATGGTGCCAGAATGATCTTTAGCACATCAGGTCTGGGGCTCACCCAGGGACTTGTGTGCTGAATTCCGATGCCAGATGTCGTCCAACTGTTTGTACGCACGCTTACATCAAATCCCCTGTGCGATATGTTGCCTCCGCCACAAATTTTCCGTTACCATCACGTATAAATGACAGTATGTGTAACTAGCGGTTCTACTGCCTGAATAAACCACTCTATTGTCGTATATATACTGCAGCGAATCTGTTAACTCTAACTCAGGTGAATCTCCCGTTTATGATGTTCTCCAACTGAATGTGCTGCACAAAGTCCACCCATGTTTCAGCTGATACAACATTCGAGACTGGGTCTACCTGATGAACCCCAAGAAGGGCGAAACCAGTCTTGGGCTGTCGAAGAGTTATTAGCAACATTGTGAGTAGTTTCCTTTATGAAAATATACTGTAAATTCTTGAATATCGTGTCAACTGAAACATGAGGTGGCCTGTGTGCAGCACATTCAGTTGTAGAATATCATAAGCGAGAGATTTAGTTGAATCTCTCGTGAAAACCAAATTGATTTGCAAATGAGTGTATTTCTCAAAAACAGTTCAATTTGGGTTCAAGTAGATCATAAGGTTGACGGAAACTCGGGGACTGCGCCTACCTGATGAGCTCCAAGAAGGGCGAAACCGGTCGTGGGCTGTTGAAGAATTTTCAGCAACCTTGTGAGTAGTTTCCTTCATGAAAAATATACATCTAACTTTTGGTGACGGTGAGTTTGTGTCTAAAGTGTTGCAGTGCAGTAACATTGCTTGGCACGGACGACCCCATAAACTGCATGATTCAAAGTTTACTTGGGCGCTATCGAGGTGTTCCTCCAATAAAGCACACTGCATTGTCTCGGCTACCGTACCAACTGAAACGTGAGGCGGCCTTCGCGCAGCGAATCCATCCAAAAAAATATCATACAGACATTCCTTTGAGTCTTCTGTTAAAACCAAATTGGTTGCAACTGAGTGCATTTCGGGAACTACGTGCAATTTTGGCTCACGTAGAACATGTGGTTAACCGAAACTCGAGGACTGGGCGTAACTGATGAGCCCTATGAAGGGCCAAACCGATCATGAACTGCCGAAGAGTTTTCGTGAGTAGTGTTTCTCAATGGAACTGTACTGTAGTATCTCGAATTTCGTACCAACTGACGTAGGAAGCAGCCTTAGTGTACTACACTCAGAGGGGGGATTCAGCCTTGTATTAAAAACAAATTAGTTTGCAGATCGCTGTATTTCACGATTTTTGAAGCATTATCACGGAAGTCCTTGATCTGCTCGAGTCTTTTAGCTACTATCAATCTGTAAGTAGCTCAGAGGAAGGATGATTTCACAGGATGAATGAACATTTCGTCTGATGGGGTCACTCGAACAGCGTGTGACCACGTGATGTCATAGAAGCATGACTGATGTGATATCCTGTCTAAGTGTGAGTTAATCACA